CCCCCCCCCCCCCTCCCCACCTAACTCCAGTTAACAAGGGATCTAGCTTGGATATTAACGAGTAGCAGTACCGATTTTGCCTTGTGCTATTCAGCATGTTTACCAGAAATATTGAAGCGTCTTCTCTATTGATTATATACTTACGTATTCTTACCGTAATCCCCTTGCTGTTCAGCCTTATTCTCTCGAGATGTCTTCTATCTTACTTAAATGGCAAATCTGTGTACCCAAGAGCTGGGTGTTGGTGGTCTCGTAGCTAGGCTACTGAACTCGTAATTGGTCGCTTTTAAGCACTAGGGGGCTATCCCGAAAAATGCTATTTTGAGAAAATCGAAGGTAAAGTTTTTGCCCCTTGTTCGGTTTCTTTAGAAGACAAGAAGAGCTTTCTCTATAACCAAACAAATATACACACTACTGAAACCAAACTTCACCTATGGGTAGGGCAATGCCTACTTTTGGTGTAGATCAAAATTTCTGGAAACCCCCGAAATCTGGGTTAGCCCGCTTGTCCTTAAAAGTGACCAATTGTGATAGTGCGGGTTCAAGAGTTCGAGGCCCAGCTCAGCTCTATTTTGTGTCCCTGGGAAACGCACTTTACGCGAAGTTTATCGTTTAATTTGGTCGTATCGGAGATGGAGGTTAATTTTGGAAGCCCCACCTCTTGAGTAACTTTTACACTGTTGAAAGGGTTGTTAAAGCTATACAATTTTCATGATATTACCATCTTCAGCTTAGCTCTCGCCAGATGTCATCTATCTTACTTAAGTAAACAATTAATTTTTTTTCGTCGGGCATAGCGTAAGATCGAGATCTAATATTAACTCTTAATGAACATCAAGCCAGGTCACCTGGTTCAAGGCGTCTTTCGCTTGTTTATAGTCGCATAAAAACACACTACCAAACTCCAACCAATCCTTGTTCTCTATTATTAAACAGTGTGTTCATTTCCTCTGATCTTTATTCCTCTAAGTTTGGTGTTTATTTTATGTAAACAGGAAATTGAATTGGAGGAAAGCTATAGATCTAGAGAAGTTTGCGATGCTGACAACTTGGTTGGCAAAATTTGTTGGGAGCAAACAAAGGAGAAATAGCCTTTCATAGAATGAATCAGATATAGGCTGGGATTTCAACATATCATGGCGTAAAAAGAAAAGGTCGTGATAAATCTAGAAGTTCTGGCAGCAGCCGGAAGAAACGCAGCGCACCTGTTGCTTAATGTTGTGGTTTCCGTTTTGGGGTTTTTGCAACTTGATGCTGTGTATAATCTAGATTCTAGTTTATTTTTGTTTGTTTGTTTTCATGACTGTCTTGTTCTTGTTTGTTATTTTTGTTTATCATTTCGGCGGGGAACCCTATCGGCAGTCGTCTAGATTTCTTACTAAAACGGTCAGAGGAAGCTTTAAGTGGATTTTAATCCTCTGAATTCAGAGAGCAAAGAACGTAGAAGCGTGCCAACTGTTTTCGGCAGGAGAGGGTTCTATTTTTAGTTACGGTCGAAGGATATTTTTAGAAATACGGTTGTCCAGGAATCATTGGTCTGGGAAGCAATATAATTTAGTTCTATTTAGCTGAATGTAGTTAACATAAAGAAATGGACAGGTTTAAAGTTGGGTGAAGCCCCTTGAAAGGCTGAAAATAGAAAAGAATGGAGAAAAGTGGTTGCCCGATCATCCTTGGTCCTCCTACAGTTACCTAGACTAAGTGATACGTATATAAACTGAATGTTTACCCTCAAGAAACAGGATTGTCTATGTAGAACCTACGTCACCAACATATGACTCCGCTTCGTTCCACTTACGAAAGAATTTCTTTTTGCTTGCGTAAGAAAAATGCACTATAGATTCGCATATTTGTGCTGGTGGTTGGAAGGCGTCATCGGTAGGTTTCTTTTCATTTTTTGTTTCGGTTCGTTTGTTTTTCTGTATTATTAGTTGCACTTTTGGTTCAACGATACTAGGATACTGTGTATATCACCCTCAATGTATTCTCAGCTTACTTTAATGACATATTACGTAAGAATTAGTTCAGTTTAGTTAGAGGTTTACGGCATAAGGTCATATTATGAGCGCGTAAAAAGCATTCAAGTTGGTTGCATTCACAACAGTTCACAGCATGGCTTGGCTTAGGTCAATGATCGGATTTAAAATGTTAAAATGTTTAGGTAAAATACCAATTTAAAAATGACAACAAACTTAATATCAAAATAACTGTATTAGAATTTACAAGTTACCGTAAATGCCAACGACCTTAATAAAATTACGGATTCTGCCAGGATGAACGACAGAGAACTCACGGTGACCCAAATGTGGCCCCACAGACAGTTATTTAGTGTTGACCCCGACTGTGAGTAGTAGGTCAAATAACTTCCGAATGGAGGATTGACGCTTATTCTCACCTGTTGTATATCTAGGTCGTATGTCCACGTGTGCAAACGGAAACAATATGTACACGGATCTCTCCTTCCATTTCTTTCTGTGTTCTGATAGGCACTGAAAAAGTCAAAAGGTATGTTTCTACCGCTCCCACTTTCCAACTGGGTTCTTGGCTCTTTACGTCAATAAAGAAATGATTTATTTAAGTGACTCTTAAGCTCATATTATGTTTATTCACATTCACCTACACACACACACACACACACACACACACACACACACACACACACACACACACACACACACACACACACACAGCATCTCGCCCCGACCCCTCCTCAACCCCCCCTCCCCTCCACAATACCCCAGTGGGTAACCTGTATGGGATTAGTTATGACAGCAGATACCACGAACACAATGTGTTTGTTCTTAGCACTGCGAGACAGACCCAACGTATACGAGCAAGACGGACCAGGTACTCTGAACTAGGTACGCGGGCGGTCGGTGGGTGCTCTGGTGTGGTTTGCTCCTTCTTTCCTATAAAACATCTTTCGTCCTTATATCTCCTTCTCTTTTGTGTTTATTTCTCTCTTGTAACACTTCAATTCTTCAGCACTCATGTGACCGTATTGTGTTCCAAGTGCCGTAAAGCTCTTACTAAAACAAAACTTACCAAAAAAAAAACAAACAAAGAACTAGGTACAGGGAAATTGTACAGACAGAACCGCAGGTGGAGGGTTAAAAAAGTCTGGCATAGACACAGGGATAAAAAAGGGAGCAGACGCAATATTACACATGCACACACACACACACGCGCGCGAGCGCGCGCGCGCACACACACACACACACACACACACACACACACAAAAGGTACGGTACCACAAAGAAACAATTCAAATTATCTGAAAGTTATCTTCTTTATTGGATCAGAAAAAGCTGCAGAAACGAAGAAATTCACCTTTTAAATCATTAAAATCGGAATATATAAAAGTTAAAAAGGTTGGAGAATTTCACTCGGTATGCAAAATGAGCAAAAAGCAAGACTTTGAAGAGTCACAAAATAATGCAATGACAATGAACATAAGCTACTCATTTGTTATGCTTTCTTGAAGTCAAGGACAATGTTGAGGCACACAAAGACTAAAGAAATCC